GAAATTAACATTATGTTGCCCATTGTAGATTCTAAAGAAAGGAAAAAAAAAAGCACAGCTGTATTCTCAGCTCCAAATTTTACTTGTTTTTATGGATTAAGAAATTCTCCTAAACCAAGATCTCTTAAAATTTTCTCTTGTATTCCTTTGTTGTTGAGGAGTAAAACATCATGGCTGGATGCAACGCTTGTTAAACTGTTCCCATTCAGTGTTATGTGAATGTTAATTCAGCTGGTTATATTAGTTTCTGTCGTGGCACAGGAGAAAGAGAGTCTGACTTTCTTCTCTTTTACCATGATCCCACTATGGCAGAGTTCACTCTGTAATCAGTTCTACTTCACACCGAATGCTACTCACTTCTCAATGGACTCAGTAAGGAGGTAAAATACTGCATTAGAAATCTGCATCATTATACACAGCAGAATGACTCAAAGGCATTCTGGAGTGTGTTGCGAGTACGCATGAGAAAAATATGTGGAAGTAACACCTCTCTGTGCTAAAAATAATCTAGTTTAATTAAGACATATACAGAGTTTCTTGTTAATCAGCTGTAGTTACTTTACCATGAAAGCATTACTACTGCATTATACAGTTTTATGACTGAAATCCTTTTCAAAGACTTTATTTTTATTTACAAGTGCTGAACAATAAAAGGCTACAGAAAACATTTTCTTAGTATTATTTCCTGTGACTCAGCACTTTTGTTGCCATAACCTACTAAGAATAAACATGTAGGAGGCAGCTAGCTATAACTTTTCATGACCTTGTTCTCTCATCTCCTGAAGTAGATTTCTTAATATTGAGTAAATATTCCAGAAAAGAAACCCATCAGAAGTTCTTCTGTTTCCATAGCCCACATTTACTTCAGGTTAGTGAGAAGTGAAGAACAAATTCCGCTAAAACAAATCTCCTTCCTATGGCATTAAATAAGGGGAATTTCCCTTCCAGTGTTTGTGCCACACTTACTGTAAGAGAGGTATCAAGAAACTTTTGCAGAGGTATTAAGTGGAAGGAGAGGGACAAGGTAAGGAGCAGGATGGTCTAGCACAGCTTGCTAAACAAATCTGCTCCAACAGTCCAGAATTATCCAAGAACACGTCCTACACAAAAGTAATGAATGATACAGCCATCTTTCCTTAGCTTAAGGCTACAGCACTCACTACGTTCTCTAGATATTCTCAAATTAGCAGTTTTTCTATACCTGAATTCTATTTTAAAAATACTGCTGCAAGATTCTGAACAGGATCTGGATTTCACTGTTTATTTCCTCAAACAGCAGAAAGGAGAAACAGTGCAGTGTTTCAGGCATCTAACAAGAGGTTGTAAGAACTTCCCAGACACCTGCTTCATCTGTGGCACTCACTGCTGAACTTCTTTTTACATCCAAAGACCAAAATACCACAGGTTGCTTTCTGCAATGACTAGTGAAGAAGGTTCCAGTTTGCCTTAATAGATCCATTCACAAATTTACTGGGAAGACAACGGTTTTAATTCCTCACATTAGTTCTACACAACTGCAGCACCGCTGCACAGCTCTTCATTTAGGTCAACTTTTCTATCACAGGGAAAGCCCCAGATAAAAACAAAGTTTTAATCTCATTTGACACAATTCTCAAAATCACTGCAGGAAACTAGGGTAGACCTAACTCAGAGTTTAGCTTCAGGTCCCACTCAGAATGAAGATACCTTTTTTTCCTATGCCAGGTCAATGGGCCCTTCCCTGACAGCCAGATCTGTGATGGAACAGAAATCAGTGGATGCATCTTATTTCAATACAACAAACTACCGTTCAAAGATCAAAAGATTTGAAATAAGGGAAATTGGCAACAGTTTGGGTGGTTTTTTTCCTTAGCTCACCAAACATGTCTGATTTTTTTTTTCCCCTTCCAACCGCCTCAAAATTAGCTGATTAATTCCATGAAAAAAATTTGATAACTATTCTGGTTGAAATTGAATTACTTCAAAATAAATCAGCATCTGTCTACAGATCCCTGTTCTAAGTTCTATGCAAAAGTTTTCTTAGGGGCAGTTAGTTCACCTCACACAATTCAACCTAGCAATTGGTCCGTTTAATCAGACTTTACAATGAGTGTCAGACTGATCTGGATTTCTTTTCCCTCACCATGTTTCAAGCTTTATTTTTACTAAATCTTTCACCTTGCCAATTCTTTCTTCCCACACCTATTCCTTTATCTAGGACCAGTGGCCAAAGGCACATTATAGTCCTTAGAAATCCACATCACCTTTTCAAGTCTCCAATCATAGCATTGGCAGTAATATTGAAGTCATCAAAATGATCGATAGTTTGTAAGATAAGGCTGTCCAGAAGTTACAAAGACCACACAAGGATTCATAATCAGGCAATACACTTTACTGAGAACAGCTGCAAAGCAGCTACACCTCACATATGTTGAACAGCACAGTCTGGATTTCAACAGCCTCTGTATTTCAAAATGAGTTTTGAAGGGATGAGGGAAAACTGTTCTCCTATCTTTCAGGGAACGTGTCTTAAAATTTTAGTTTTCTACTTGGATGAACTCAAACCTCAGAGCAACAAAACTCTCTGGAGACAAGTCTAAATAAGTCAAGCTCATACAGATTCTAATAGTAAGAAAGGCCTAATGTTCTCACTTAGAAGAGTACTTCACATAATAATCTCTCCTAATGTTACATTAAGGACTGTTAAAGATTATTGTTAGTCAAGTTTGCTGACTTACAGGTAAAATAACTTTCAACATCAACGAAACTGTTGATTTCATTGTCTGCTAGGCTGTCCTATTAGAAAATATCTTGACAAAGAGGCAGGGCCAATTCAAGATGACAGATATAGACCCCTTTCTGCAGCTGATATGCCCTTATGTCTGCAGTGTAAAATACTGCACTTTCTTTCCAACTCTCCACTGTTTCTAAGAAAACACCAAGAGAATGAGTCAGCATAATGATTTGATGCTCCAATGTGATATACATTGCTAGGCTGTCTGGAACTAGAATAGAATCATAGAATAGTTTGCATTGGAAGGGACCTTTAAAGGTCATCTAGTCCAACCCCCCACAGTGGGCAGGGACCTCTTCAACTAGACCAGGTTGCTCAGAGCCCCGTCCAGCCTGACCTTGAATGTTTCCAGGGATGGGTCATCTACCACCTCTCTGGGCAACCTGTTCCAGTGTTTCACCACCCTCATCATAAACAACTTCTTCCTTATATCTAGTCTAAACCTACCCTCTTTTAGTTTAAAATCATGACCCCTTGTCCTATCGCAACAGGCCCTGCTAAAAAGTTTGTCCCCATCTTTCTTACTAGCCCCCTTTAAGTACTGGAAGGCTGCTATAAGGTCTCCCCAGAGCCCTCTCTTCTCCAGGCTGAACAACCCCAACTCTCTCAGCCTTTCCTCCTAGGAGAGAGGCTCCAACCCTCTGATCACCTTCGTGGCCCTCCTCTGGACCCGCTCCAACAGGTCTATGTCTTTCCTGTGCTGAGGGCTCCAGAGCTGGACACAGTATTCCAGGTGGAGTCTCACCAGAGCAGAGTAGAGGGGCAGAATCACCTCCCTCGACCTGCTGGCCACGCTTCTTTTGATGCAGCCCAGGATACAGTTGGCCTTCTGGACTGTGAGTGCACATTGCCAGCTCACGTCCAACTTTTCATCCACCAGTACCCTCAAGTCCGCAGGGCTGCTCTCAATCCCTCCATCCCCCAGCCTGTATTGATACCAGGGAGTGCCCCAACCCAGGTGCAAGACCTTGCACTTGGCCTTGTTAAACCTCACAAGGTTCACACGGGCCCACTTCTCAAGCTTGTCTCAAACTAGACCATCTACTTCTATCAAGACAAACTATTCATTTTTATGTGGCAGAAAAAACCTTCCCCCACAGTTGTAATTGGTTCTTTTTAAAAAAAGATACTGTAAAATCTTGAGTTAAACATCATTAAAAATTGTGTAGCACTTAACAAGACTATAGGCTTACCCTACGGTCTTATTTACCACGTCATCTCTTGCACATACATTTCTTGTACAATGGCTGTCATATTGCTGCTGCTCTTGACTCAAGAGGTTGCTGCCTTTCAAAATCGTCAAATTATTGGAAAAATGGTTTGAGAACCTTTGGAATAAAACTGCCATATGAAACTACAATATTGCTTAGAGGAGAGAATACAGATGGATCTGATTTCCAGAGAAGAATGATGGGAGAAGGCACAAGGTGCTCTTAGATTGGCTGCCTCTTCTCCCTTTATTTTACTCATACAAAACAGATTTTCAGTTTAAACCAACAGAGCCATGGAAATAAAAATATGGAGGAATGCAAAATGTGCATTTATGCAAATTCAAATTGGTTGTGAATTTTGAAGATAATTTGATCCCGAAGGAAACAATTACTATGGAAAGAAACTGAATACTTCAGATTCTTAAAAATGTCATTACTATGTTTTACTGTGACACGAATAGTCACACACAGCAATGCTATTTATTTTTTCTGAAAATAATCATATAAAAGTTTTATTTACATACAGTTTCCCACAGATGTCTTATCTAAAAAACTGGCAATTAAGTCACTTTTTTGTGTTAAAAAGGAACCAGCTAGACGGTAATTTAAGTTTTCTACATCTCGTTCTTTCTGATCCAAGTAACTTCATTCTTATTCCTACACCTGTGTTACAAAGAGCAGAGTTAAAACTGTGTTAATCAATACCCGATTATTTTGTATAAGGCAGTATATCTCTATAGTCAATGTATTATTCAACTGAAATGATGTCCAAATACCAAAAATATTGTAAGAATTGTCCACTTATAATTCATATAGATTATTATTAGCAACATGAACCCTGTTGCAAGTTATAAAAAATGGTTATTCTCAATTAAAAAATTCCTTTTATGGCATACTGCACCTTTAAGCATAACACCTGTTTACACACAAACATTTCCAAATAGAATAGGGACTTAGGGAGGGACCACAAACTTTTTAAACAACAGGGAAAGTGCAAACACTACTTTTTCACCCACTTTTCTTATGTCCTTTGTACTGTTGCGATTTAGCTTTTTTCTTCTGTTTTGATGAACTTGACTGGCTATCTCTTGATGCTGCAAAAAATTAAGAATTCAAAATTGAAGTTCAGTATTTTGGAAAAACACTTCAGAATGTGTCAAAGCTGCTACACAGCTACAGAATTAGTGACTGAACAAAGGCAGAATACCTTTATTGTGGGAAAAGCCTCCCGTTAAACTAGTTCTCAAAATACAGTTATCAATTATTATCGTATAACTTGACCTGACAGGGCAAGTCTTGATGCACTAAATAAAATACAGCCTTCTCACATAAATACTTCTCCACATGAATAGCTATGCACATGCTGAGTTCCATCAAATTCGGTATGTAAAGCATATATATTTGCAATCTTAAAGCAATATAAATTCTCAGTGATATTATCCAGAACTGAGGAGAAGTAACAGGCTTTTTCCCTGGATCAAATAAGCATCTTCTGTCATTAAATATAGTAAGTAGCCACAGAAACGCCCAGAAGTACTTTAAAAGTCAGGGTGGAAGAGATTAGAACTGTGTACATCTAAGCAACAGCAAGAATTTGTTCTGTTTTTGTTATACCTGGTGACCTAACTTAAAAAGGATGAAGTTAGGAAAATCATCGCCCATGAACAAGGACCAGGAAGCAACTGTTACACTATTTACACAACAGGAACTTACATTGTGGCGCTGGAGGCTGTAGTTGATATCCAGTTAGCTGACACCATCCCACTGGATAGAGGTCTGGGGACTCGCAATCCACCCACTGATCATATTCATCTTCCCACCCATCAAAGTGTATCCTCAAAAGACGATGGATAATGCGAGTTACTGTGGCCACACATACCAGGCGAGGTTCCATCAGATCAACAGCCTCCAGTTTCATTCCAACATGAAACCCATGGTTTGGAACTTCCTGGAAAAGCAAACACAAACAAGGCAAACATCAGTAAACAAACATGTTAATTAAGATGGTTTAAGCACAGCGTTGAAGCGAGTATTTCAGTCAACTTAATGTAGGAAAATACCAAGTACCGTTTATGAAGTTTCATGTACCCTTGTATTTATTTAACATTTCAGAAATATTCAAGCTTAATATACTCAAATGGTTCTTATTTCTAAAAGTCTCTGTTGTCTTAGCTTTTCAAAATTTTATTTAATGAAATGGGTCAATCCCATGGACTATGCAAACAGAAATTTAAAGATAATACTAATTACAGTTTAAATACACACATATAATGTTTATTACCTTATTGAAGAGCTTTACAGGTGCTGCTATCGAGTCAGTTTCCCTGAGGTAGTCAAACCATTTAAAAGGGAGTTTTGCATAACCTGTGAATTTTAAACAACATTTTCATACATCAACTGCAAACTTCATGCATAAGAACACAACAAAAATAGTATATTGGCAATGTGTTATGGCTAAAAAGACAACAAAGGAGCAAAACATTAACATCGGAAACTTCCACTCTCTGAGCTTTGGTCTAAGGGACAAGACAGTCATCTGGACATTGTCCATTTGCAACAAACAAGATGAATGAACCTCTGGATAATATAGAAGGTGTCATTTAATGTTAAGATTAATCGTTCATACTTGAAGCTTTCTGTCCACGTAGATCCTTGATCTCTACAATGCCCCACACAAATGACTCAAAACAGATCATGTAATTAAGCACATCCAGTGTCTTTCCTGTGGGGAAAGAGCTCCACTATTGAAACACTTGAATTGTTAGGAACAGAGTGGTAAGAACAAGCATGGATATTTTAAAACTTAAATAAGGCTAAAAATACCAATAAAATGGAAAATTGCAGGATTTTTTTTTTCCAGTCTTAAGAGCTATTATAAAGGGAAGAAAATAATCTCTCAAATATATTTAGCTTTTGTTCATCTACTGAATATGCATAAAACATGCAGGACTATTTTTTACTTTGGGCAACTTCTACAACTGCTTAAATCAATAATTAATTCTAGCTGGAGCAACAACAGTTTGAAAGATTTCTTTGTGGTAGTATGCAGTGATGGACATTCCAAAAAAATCACAGCGTAGTGGGCATGGCATGGGGAGGTATGGGAAACCGTTGGATCTCATCTAAGTGGGGGTAGAGAGCTCCCACTGAGTCATAGCCCAGTACTGCAGGGCCAGACTATCAGGTAGCTAATACTCACAGCCCAAAATGCAATCCCATTCTTGAAAGTGTCTAAGCATCTTCATCTTCTACTGATTTCAGCAAGAGACGAAGATGTTTGGAAGGAATAAGCTTGTAAAATCCAATGATTTCACAGCAACTTATTTAAGGTATTCACATTACTAAATGTAATTTGGAAATGTGTGTTCATGTTAGGTACGTAGTATCTGCAAGAACAGAGGTAGCTGGATAGCTAACAATTAATAAGGGTAGTAATGTATCAGTTTTGCATATTAACGCTTTTCTTCTTAATGCACAGTTCCTCTTGCTAGACCAATATATTTGTACGCAAGTCCTTTAATTAACTTCTCAACACACACACACTAAAGACATGTGCACGTGGTCCTTGTTTGAGTAGTCAGAATTAAGAAACTGTCCATTTTCAAGCCTGTAATTTGGAAAGCAAAATACACCTCTCGTAAGAGCTAAGAAGCTTTGATCAGCCTGATCCTACTAAATATGTTAACGCGCATTACGTCTGTATTTTACTCCTGTTAATTCCTCTTTCAAATGACTTCTAGATTATTGCATATGTGATTTATAATCGCCTCTCAGTGGATGATACAGGACTATTACGGAAAACTGCAATAACAGGGAAAATATACATATAGATAAAGAATAAGGTTGCCACGATTCAAGAAACACAGAAGTATCATAAATGTGCTAACAATAAAATTCATATACTATTGTGTAAGTACTGTTTGAAGAGTAAAGAGGAAAAGTTTCATCATAGAAGGGAGGTTTTTTTCCTATTCTGTATCATCATTTTAATGTATTTATTTCTAAATTGATTGATATGTATTGATATGCATGCTTTTTCCTCCCACAAAACCTTTTCCTATTGCAAGACACTCTTGCACCACATTTTGAGGTGTGATTATGCCCATGAATTTCTAGGCAATAAATTCCCTTGACTGAAAAAGAATAGTAAATCTGTCCAACTGCACTTTCCACATACTCAAAGATGACAGATTCATTAGCATGCAATAATGAAAATTACATGAAATTAATTTTCTTCATGTTGCATTACACTGTCTTTGTAGTTATTACCTAGAAAAATAATTCAATGAATACAAGTAGAAGCCTAAAAGAATGAGAATGCAGAAAAAAAATCCATAGAAAACCATCGTTATCTGCTGTTACATAACTAGTTACAATCCTCTTTATAAAATTGCCAGACCAAGACAATAAAATGGAAAAATGAAGGCAATAGAGTCTTCTGTAGGCATATGTGCTAGTGGACAGACAGCTTTTTCTCACAGAAGGGATTACGCAGCATACAGCTCTAATGGCTACTTCCTCAAAGTTCTAGTTTGTGCATATTCTTCAAAAAATTAACTGGTATTGTCGCTAATTAGCCTAAGTCTGAGATTCTTTACAATGTTTGTTAATCCTTTTGGTGGCCAGAACTTCCCAAGAAATGACATATTCTGAAAACAGTCCTTTTAGTGACTAACATACTTCCCATTCATTTAACGGATATACTATTCAACTAGTGGCTATCCTCGATTTCTGACAGCAAAAGCAAATTATTTTAGCCAGAGAATCAATCAGATGTTCAATTTCACTTTTTCTAAATGAAAAGTTTGTTATCTCTTTTTTAGATTACTTTGAAGTTATTCTGTTGCATTTGTTTCAGACTTGAGAAAGTCCTAAAAAGTGACATGAATTTTGTAGACTGAGTTAAGAAACAAAGCATATGGCACATACAATATCACTGAAAAATATTCAAAATAAAATGTGGTCAGAATGCTATATGTACCTCTGGGTGGAGTTAGTTCAATCATGTTAATTTCACAGAAACCAACAGGGAAAATAGAAGGGGAAGTGGCATGGTAACAAAACCAATCAGACCCATCTGCTGCTTCTGAGCCATCAATCCCAATCATAAGATAGCCATCTGCTAAAACCTTTGTAAAGAAAAACAAAATTTTACATTAAATACCTTTAACTGTGTGATAAGGCTAGAAAGAAAGCATGCCATGTTTCAAAAGAGTGAAAAGTAACTCAATAATAATGGAAGTACACTTAGAAGGTCATTCAATTATAACAAAACAAAAAACTCCAAATCATACCTGTCTCCAAGATTGTGTGTACTATTGTCAAATGTACCTTTGTTAACAGCGAAGTCGAGAGATGAACATTTCCTTTTTCTGATCTCTAGTTTATTTTTCTTGTGAACATCAGTTCTACTTCTAAAGCTTTATAATTCAGTCTACTCTTTAGCTTGTAAGGATATTCTGCACACCATTAATAAGAAAAGACTCAAAATCATAACCACGCTCCTCATTGGTAAGGTTATGCAATTCTGCTAAGCTACTTCTTACATTTTCTTCGTCTTTTAAAACAGATTTCACATGGATGGGATCCCTTTCAACCAAGCTAGGAAAAAAGTACATCCTTAGAATGTCTTCATAGACTCCTGCGAGTGAGCAAGATGAGGTTTCTTTTTGAACAGTTGCAAAACATTTGGTATAATTAGTAGAAGATTGTCCTGCAAATTAATCTCTCAAAAGTATTATATGCTAATTAAAGGTAAGTCTGAATTTCCAGAGATTAAAGTCAAAATAAAAAAAAAAATTACGAGTATATTCTTTTCCACAGCAGTTGTATATAAACAATTAATGGACGTATTCCATAAACATTCACTGTGTGAATGAACTGCATTTATTTTGTTTTTGAGCTTTTTGTTTCAAACCTGAATAAAGGTGAGTGAAAAAAGGATTCCCATCTACCTTCCCAAAATACACATTTGTTTCCTTACCTTTCTAATAGTTGCCACACATATTGCCGAAAGGTTTAAGGGGTCTATAGCTTCCAATTTCATTCCTTCTTTAAACCATTCTCCAGCTACGTCGACATCTTTTACCTAAAGAATCACATAATAGCACCAGAAGCTAAGAATTTAATAAGCATGGAACAAAACATAACCCCACACCGCCAAAGCAACAGATTGAAATACCTATTCTATTATCTCTGCTTATGTCAAGGAGGCCAAAGTAGGTAAGTGAATAAAAAAAGCAAATGCTTGTGCTGGGCATATTTCCAGGACTGAAGTAGAGTTTCAGGTCTGTTTTACACACACCAGGAACTAAAGGTCCTCAATCAACTCTGAGAAAACAGTGTTCTTGCTAGCAAACTCACCTTCATAAATAAATGTGGGGGTGCATCAAAATGTCCATCCTGTTTCTTTGTAATATCTAAAAGGAATAATAGTACGTATTATTCAGAAGTTTCGTTAATAGAGCAGACAGTATGTTTTTCTGAATATGTTAACCAGTACAATGCAATCATATTATTGGTGTGGGAGGCCCACAGTTTATAATAAGACTACCACAAAAATCTGGAGGACATAATCCATTTATTTTCCTTATTGACTTTTACCTGAAATACCTCTAGAACACAACCTCATTTATGGGGGAAAAAAAAAAGCCAGTATTTACAAGACCACTTGATTATGTCACAAAATTGGTACAAATATACATAGAAGCTTTTGCAAAAAATTGGCAAGTAAACTACTTTGCACTATGTTATGACAGAAAATTGTATTTATATATTTTTTATATAACTATACATAATCACTTTAAATACATGTATGTGGCTGGTTTTAGCCAACCGTTGAATCCTACTTTCCAAGGGGAATCCCTGGAACCCTGCTCAAGACATTATTTCTGGGAAGTAGCACTCTTCTAGATTTCTCTAACTACTCTCATTTATAAATGGTTGCAGTGAAAGTTTAAGCACTAGGAAAACTGAAGGTTTTCCTGAAGGAACATTTGTGGCTTGTGGAATGTTTTACAGAAATTCTGTTTCTGACAAGGGACACAAGCTCAATGGAACAAAGAAATATTAAAAAACAGATTTTTTGTTTAGAAACCTTAAATATATCAAATTATAAGTATTTTTGTATTTTAGATAACAAGGGCCTTAACTGTGTACCATCTATTAGACTGTCACTTCATCCTCCCTGCCCATCTCCTAATGCCCTCTAAAACGTGTAAATCTTGCAATATAAAAATATTAGATAGTCCTTAAACTTGCAAGTAAAAAAAAAAAATTCAGTATCTAATAGGGTACTTGTCCATGTTGTATTGTACAAGAGACAAACGTGAAGAAACTAGGAGTTTGTGGAGCTGCGTAACTCCAGGTATCAGCATGAAAAATGACGTTTACCATGCTGGAATATTGCAGTTCAAGGTTTTCCTGCCTGGACAGTTTGTTAACCACTGTTTATCATTGAATCTTTCTAGATATTGACATACCACAAATCAACTAAAAATTTATTTTGGCTTTTCCAATGCTGCAAAATACACTAATTATACTTTTAACTGAAACTCTTAAGTGTAATATAATTGGTAAAACCCCTGGGCTGCATTATATGAATTTTTAAAGATCATTATTCAAGTTAGTTTTATAAATTGTATAAAGTGACAGTACTGCTTAAGTCAGACTTCTCCAAGCCAACACTGCCCACAAAGACACCTCTAAAACACAAACTTACCAGATCTTTTGAACCTGTGTCCTATACTTCGAGACCAACCAATATGATGAATGAGTGGACTGTACATATGGCACCAGAAGTCATCAGTTTTGTCTTCACTTTCTTCATACACCAATCTTAACCGTCCCCCAATGACACTTTCTACAACTGCTACCCTTGTTCGACAAAGGTGTGTTTTGTCAACAACTTCTACTCTCATGGAAGTTTTGAATGGATACTGCATACTCTCAGACACCTTAAAGTAACAGGAAAAAAACCATTCTTTAATACGCTCTGTTTTTCCTTAGAAATCTGTTTTCTGCTATTAAAGCGCAGTATCAATGCACTTTTCATTTAATTCAAGTACTTGTTAATCAACCTGCAAAAACGACACAAATTATTTCTCTTGTATTTCATTGTACATGGGGAAAAATGAAATGTTTCAGAAGACTAAGTAGAAACAGATCCAACAATGCTTTAACTGTAGCAAGTACAGCTCCTAATACAATTCTCACATAGGTTACAGGAGTTTTCCATTGACTTAATGAAAGTTTGTTCAGTTAACAATGGATAAAATTACCCTGAGAAACAACTTTAACAAAAAAAAAAATTTTTTTTTTTTTGCTTTGTCATCCACTCACAATATAGCACTTAAAAATAGAATCACAATATAGCACTTAAAAATAGAATTAAATACTTTATAATAAAAGGCATGGAAAACAAACCTTCAACATAATTAAAGCTGGCCACTCACACACATATTTCTTCATAATATACCAAAAAGAAAGGAAGAGAATGGAAGTAGATGTTAATCTGCCTTGTGACAATACATTCTGCTTAAAAATCAGTATCTGTCACTTGCCATTTCCGTTATGAACTCCCCAAAGTGCTGAGATCTTGCCAATTTAATTTGGCTTCCAACTGAGCCAATTTTTAAATAGAAATGAACAACTGCAGAAAGGTTTTTTGTTGTGATTTTTTTTTTAGTATTAGATGCAGTGTAAGACAACAAGTCTCATATTCCTACTAGAAGCTATGTACCATCTCACAGTATTAGTAAGTAAACTTACAGCACACTATACAGACAGCTGCCACACTTAAAGACATGACTTAAAGACAGCAAAAAAATCTAGTCCAGAGCAGATGAAAAATATTAACATTGAAAAGTATGTACTTTATTGCATCTAGATATGTGCTATATTAATACATTTTGTTCAGTTTCTTGAAATAGTGCATGATAAAATCATTCCTAAATCAGAAAAATCAGTTTTAATTTTTCTTACATATCACAGGGTAGCTTTTTAGCACTTTTTTTTTTTTAAATTGGGATATTTTAAAATTAAAATAGACTAACTAGTTTTTAAAGAAAATTATTTTCTGCTAGAGGAAACAGTTTTCCAAATACATACTGACAAGTGTGGACATAAATGGAGAATAGAGATCCCAAGGAAAACTGTATTTAAGGGAAGAAACTACTGTATCATCTTCACTATAAAAGGAGCTAATGTGCCATTGTACAATACTTCAGTTCTTCACATTGTGCTGCAATTTCGTTTATAGTACATCATTGATATTGCATCAGCCTTACCTTCTGAGAAAAGTCAGGAGGAAGTGTTTTGGCACCAGTAAGTCGTTTCACTAGAAAAGCTTTCCAGTTTGTGTATTTGTGTTGGATGGCTGTTGCAAATGAAGGGGAAAAAATAAGCCACTGATTTTTAATTGTGTCCGTTAGAGACAATATTAGAGTCTGGAATATGTAAAGAAGAAATCCCAGATGACTGTTAAAAAGCCTGGATGACAATAATGACAAAAACCTCTTTAGAGAATGAATGCTACCCAAGATTAAGTTCATGGGTATGTCAGGGCAAAGAATTTAATAACAAAATATAAATAAAATCAGTGCATGTTCACATCACTGATTAGCTAACTGCTTCCACCTTGATCTTAAAAACTTTAAGTCACATCAGATGGGCTACTCCAAGAAACACTTTCAGCATCATTCAAGTCCTTATTTTTCCAAAAGTTAAAATGATTTATTCATAACTGTTGAAAGAGCTGCTATGGTAAAAAAATACTATGATATCTGAACCATGAGCAAATTTAGTTCAATAAAGACAGACTTCTGTATCAATCAGTAAGGCTACTATTTACATACTTCGAGGAGGGACTAGGGGCTTCCCACTGGTTGCACACCAACCAACTGGGTGGATGTCAGACCCACAAACGTTGCACCAGAAGTCAAGACTTGAATCATTTTCAAAGCCTTCGTATCTTAGCAGAGCATTGTAGCCTGAAAGAAAGCAATCCCATTTAAAAAAGACAAAAATTAAACAAGATTATAAAAGATCTATTAATATTTCTTTACCAATCATAATGTGTATTACATTGGATTTTCTAGACTAGAACTTTTCATAGAACATTGTTCTTACGTCACATTGCTGCATGTTATTAATGCACAGAATGGATTACTTTGATAAATGTGCATGTGGTATCACGTAAGTAAAATTTTAATTAAAATTAAAATTCTTGAACTATAAACCTTTAGAAGTTATATTTAGGAGGACAAAATTAATTACCCACAGTATCTGCGTTTTCATATCTTAGCTATGCGACCTTGAATTTTTAACTTCTCTTTTAACCAAGAAAAGTGATTCATATAACAAGGCTTACTTGCTAGCTATTATACAATTTCCTATCTCCTCATTCTGCACTGCTCTTACTGTACTCTGAGGCAATATGAAAAAACCAGGCATTCCCAAGCTTCACTGAAGCCACTATGAAACAGTATAACATAGTGATAGTGGTAAAACATATAACCTATTGACGCAGCTTTGACAACCTAACCAGTGCCAACATTCCACCAACCAGGTGACCACTGACAGTTATTTTGATTATTTTAATAATTTCAACTAAAATATATTCACCTGCTAATTTTACAATTCCAGCTATCCAGAAGACTTTGGTAGGTAGGCTGCAGTCGGTGTTTGGAACCTCCACTCGCACTCCTTCTGAGATATCACCCCAGCATGTGCCCATAGGTGCCTATCATTTAAGGTGGGGGGGGGAAAGTCACCAGTTCACCACATGAAATTTTTTTTTTTGTTATAGTGTTTTATGAGCGACTTAAAAAATGAAAACAATCAATATACAAGATAAGACATATGCATATGTTTAGAAAACAGTTGTTCTACGAAAACCTAGTTTGGTTTTGATTGAACCTTACGTGTAGTATTACAATTGTATACAATTATTACTGTGTATTTCCTACAAAAACTACAGGATTCCAAGTTTAAAAATCTGTAAAGCTCAAGCACAAATTGCATATACTCACAGGTCAGCTTTATTCTACTATGTTTCAACTAGGTGCAAGCTACAGATTTTAGTGAGAACAGTGTAATTCCTCTGCAATTCCACTTGCAAGAAAATTATGGTACTTTAAATTCATACCTGTACCACCGATATCAAAATCTTTACATTCTGTAAATCAGAAATGTTCCTGAAAAAATGCCTAAAAGTTATTTCTTGAATCTATTCTGATGATTTATTATGGTGGGGTTTATCACCCACTGTTTCACATCCTCTCAGAGGAACAGGCTTTCATATCACCTGCAAGTGAGCATTCCATCAAGCAAGCAAAAAGAATTGAAGACTGAGTGGCACCTTTTCAATAAATGCAAAAAGGAAATACACAGCTAGATTCCTCACACGCTGTCCTGAAGGCTTAGACTAATGCATAAGTAACAAAAAGAAATACAAACTTGATGAGCTATTAAGGATTTGGGGAAACTGGAGATAAAAATTACATTGAGTTTGCTATCTCAAGAAGAATGTTTTGTTGAACAGAGCATCATGAAAAGATAGTCAAAGATGGTAATGTAGAGATACCAGAAATGCACAGTGCTGAAGAGTCTAAAACCTTAAAAGCGACTCAACTGAAGTTATATTAGTAACAAAACAGAAAATTACTCAGTTTACATTAAACTAGAGACCACCAAGAAGGGGAAGACTCGGATTTGGGGTATTTTAGAAGAACAGTCACATCAATTCTAAGGTGTTCTGAGCAAAATAAATTCTTAACAATTCAGAGAATATTCAGGTATCACAGGGACAACTGAAGGGATCCTCTGGTCTGTACCAGAGGGCAGACAGTATTCTAAGGCTGTGTCTCATTTTCAAAGCTCTTTGCAAACACAGAGAACTTAACAGCTCAGTGGGAACAGCCTCCAACTTCACAGAATTTTGGCTGAGAGCCTCAAGTGAAGAAAGTTGGATTAATCCTGAATGATTGGAAATCACGATACTGGAATTTTGCTGGCAATCAGCAACAGCCAACCAGCAAAAGCCAAACTTATCTTAAAAAGGGATACGCCTCACTAGTAGAAATATTTGAGGCTAGGCATGCAAAACTTAAAACTAGTTTTAACTATTAAAGGAAAAATAAGTTATTGCAAGTATGCCAGTTTCTTATTCTTGAAGCCTGGTCTCTTCATGTTCTGCTATGTCCCATCTACACCAGTCTAGACTGCAGAGCTCTTTTCTGCCATCTGGCAGACAGAGAGAAAAAACACAACTTGAAAGATTATGGCTTATTTTCACACACAAAATATGCAGATACAGCTTCTTAATCAAGTCCTATTACATATTCGCTATCATCTCTAAATTGACATGTAGCTTTTTGAATCGAATTGGGGAAATAAACTTTTCAGACTGCATATTTTAGTACATCTTGTTGCCTTGTATAGAGATACAGATGAGGCCAAACAATCAAAAATGGCAGTGCTGAATAATTTCATAATCCAGCTGCACTTAATTGAAATATATTTTACTGCCTGCTTATCTGTTCAGTTGATTCAGAGAGAAGAGTATATTGAAACACTTCTCGCATCAACCGGTAATGGAAATGTCATTTATTTCTAGAATGTGGATTGGTATAGAGGGAAATAGCAGAAAGTTAAATTTGTCCTTGTCTGTGAAAATATTGGTTCTGCTAGTTCTCCTACACCAATCCATATGGCTCACCCTTTAGAAGAAGGACGCCATCCTGTGTAGCATCACTACTGAAATGCCAGATAATATTACTGTCCTGAAGTGATGGTTTACAGTATACCTGGTATACTGCGCCATCTTTTCATTTTTCGCTCATTATGAATATTCTTAAGGGAGGAAGACTGGATAAACCAGGGCTATAACAGCCATCTTCCTTCATGTCTTCTCTGTCTTCATCTAATTAATCAAATCAATGTTTGCACAGTGCTTTGAAAAACTCACAAAGCACTACGTAAGTCTTAAGTCTTATTCATCTGCTGGCTGGAAGGGTAACTCTGAAGTCTGGATTGGCATAGTGCGAACTAGCAGAACCATAATTTACAGGTAAGAACAAATTTACCTTTCAGACTCATGACGAAGAGATCCACTTCATGTTACTCCCAAACAAGGAAGATCTGGTTCATCGCTTCCTGCTCCGGGAGATGACTTGGGAGGGTTTATCTGTGAGCAGCAGCTGCCTTCTCTGCAAGGTAAGTTGCAATCAGGAAGATCCTGTTTGACAGGAGCACCTAAAGGCTAAGTATTCCCACATGCCTAGCTGAACAAAGGTCTCGTGGGTTAAATAATTGGCTTCTAAAAGTTTTGGATGGCACCAACATTGCCACTTGACATTTCAGACTTGAAACTTTTAATGGCAAAGTGATGCTACCAATTCTTGAAGCGTAAGGATACTATGCTGATACCTTGTGTGTGAACAGTACCCCCACAAAAGGTAACGCCAGAGAAGACAATGTGCAAAATCGTTTAAAATAAGAAGTTCAAAGCAAAGCACTGCCACCTAGGGTAAAATCCTGGAAATGCTCCCTTAGAGCAAATTATTTATTTATTCATTTATTTTAATAACGAAAGAAACCAAAAGAATGAAAATATTTCAGCTCAGAATAAAATTCAACTAGAAGAAAGACTAAAAAATTCTTAACTTCAGAAAATGTGCATCTCATTAGCAACAGAGTGGAAAAGAATAATTACTATTAATTGTACATTAAGTTGTACATTAAGTGGTACTGACAAACGACTCAAAGCACTGTACTTGCTTTCATTTCTAGGAATGATTTGAGCTAAAGGCAAATATACAAAAAAGGAAAAAAAATGAAATTGGAATGCAGGTTAGCAATGAGCACACTGTATGTTACTAAGCTGTAACACAATATTAAAAACATTAAGAGTTTTCATCCTTGCATCAGCTACTGCTGTGTGTCTGATTAACTCAATTTGACAAAAAAAAAGCTGCAAGGTGCACAAACTGTAATTCTGGTTTTGTCACAGGCTTCCTATATGACATAAACCAAAGCAGCTTCTCTACTTCAGTTTACTGAACTATAAATTGGGCATAGTTGTACTGTTGCTAGTGAGTTTCATTAGTGTTACTCAACACTGAAGTCTGGAATGAAGGTAACAGGGAAGTACAAAAACCACATTAAGGGCATCAAAAGACTTTGAAATTAATTATTCTCATACAGAGAAAGAAATAGAGAGAACTTCAAGATTTAAAAGTTTTAATTCTAAAATATAACTGTTTTAAATTGAAGAGGAAGTAAGTCCCCAGGCAAAAAAAACTTATGTGACAAAATTACATCAGACCTGAAACACTGAAGTATGCCAGGTTATTAAAAAACCAATCAATAAGCCAAATCCCACATCTTATAATTCCCTTAAGTTTTCTTTATTATTGATCCCAATGTTCCCTATCAAATATCCATACAGATATACCCAGTATAACAAGATACATATTTTACCTAGTAACAAATTTAAGGGTAGATATGTCATGATTTTACTTTCGATTCAAAACTTTTGTTTTGAACAGAATAAGCTTTATATATTCAGTCTCGCAGACACACACAACATGTGCATGGAATCCATAATACAGATGGTAAACAAACATCAACTAATACAAACTTTTATGAATCAAATCAATATAGTACACAGAAAGCATAGCAATAATCTTTCCAGACAGACAAAAAGAGTATTGTTTCTTTTAGTTATCAACAGAGAGTGGGGGAGAGAGAGGAGTTTCTAACAAAAGACTACTAATGTGTTTTCAGATTCTGACTGGTTTAAATAATATATTTTTCAAAGAAATAATTACAGTAAAACTAAATGCAAATCACACTTTTGAAACACTAACTAATGTCCACCAAAGAAGAAGAAATCTCCAAAGGAGACTGCAGGAGTTGCATTTTACTTGCATAAAAAAGGAAACCAGGGACAGAAAAGAAACATCATTCAGGCTTAGTAGCACTGTTGCCATGTAGATTGTGAAAATTTTCAAGGTAAAATGTGAACATTAGTGTTGTATTTGTTTACATTATCGGTGTACCTTTCAACTTAATGAATGAAGTAGTAAAAAAGGAAGATACAACTCCTTTTAATATGGAATGTTATAGCATAATTTAGAAGTGACCTAACTATTGTAGCTGTATCCTAATTAAGGATGCCATACATCATGAAGCATTTGTTGTTATAAGAGCACAGCCCACGTTATCAAACAATACCTTTTGATACGAACTTATGAAATTACTTCTAACAGCACGTACATAACTGTGAAAGCAAAGTGCAAACATGCTTCCTTAAGCACGTGGAATTCGATACAAATTCACGAAGCTCTACTAACGCAAGGCTCTGTCCGGGGCAATAGTTAAGGCCTCTAAGCATAAAGGGTGCTATTCAGAAAGTGCCAACTGCCAAGAGCTCTCAACTCCTACTGATTTATGAGTTGACAGGGCTCAGCGTGAATTCCAGAACTGGACAGAAAATATGTCTCTCTTTTCCCTTATGGACAACTTCCAAGAAACAAAATGTTTGTTTTGATTGCAATTTTCATCAGATAATTTTGAGAAAAATAAAACCTTTGTAAGAGGATGGAACACTTCAACTTCCCAAATAAAAAAAAAAGTATGCTGAGAAAACACTTTCTGTCAGAAAGTTTTTACTTAAGAAACAGAAAGTACTAACAATATTTTAAACAAGATCTAATAATTGGAATTTAACAAACACATTAAAGACAGATGCTGCTAAATATTTTCCTCATCCCCTAATTACATTCTATAATGACTGAGGACTTCTTGTCTGGAATTTTTGTAACTCTAAAACAAAGAAAACCAACCTCTTTAATTTCAGATTTATAAAAAGCCTTCGTTTTCCTCTATTTCTACACTACCTGGCAGCACAACTGACAGGGACAATCTGACTAAAAACTAAGAAAAAAATCCCAAATCTAAATATGTAACCAAAAAATCAGTTCAATATAATGGAGCAAGTCTGAGTCACCCTAAAAAACCTTTTGTAACTTTTTCTAATATTGTCTGACCTGGTTGGTTTGATGCTCTGTCGCGCATTCGATGATTTTACACCTTGTATGTGACAAAAATAACTTCGTAAGTATTTAAGAGTCCTCCTTTTACTTTTTTCTTTGTTTATGAGAGTATGTATGATGCGAGTAACTGATAGTGTTCAGAATGGTTTCAAGGACAGATAAAATCAAACATACCTATCTAAAAAGTAGTCATACTAACACAGTTTACAATATAAGTTTTATAGTCCAAGGCCATGAAACATCTGGATATGAATGTTTTGCAAAAATTAATTCAAGAATTAACATGGACTCTCTCTCTCATGCACACACACAGAAGAATAGCACATATTGAAAAATACTTACGTGTTTAAAACAGGTAACAGGAGCTGCTGTAAAGCTATTGCTATTGATGTAGTTACCCCAGCTGAAACCTTCCACAGGGACAGCTGCTAAGAGAAAGTTATTTTATTTAGGAAGCTTCTAATGAGTCACAAACCTTATATTACCGAGAATTTGTTTCAACTCTGTTTATATGCCATTACCTGCTTTAGTCTTTGCCTGGTTTTGTAAAGTTGCTTGGTACTGAGCATATGCTGCTAATTTAGCCACTAATGGTTGTTTTTGTAGAACTTTAGCCTTCTTTGTCGGAGGTTTACCCTAAAACAAAAAAAAGCTAAGTAAATAAAGTCTTTCCAAACTCCCATCAGGAAATTTCCATAGGTCTGTAGCACATCTCTGGCACATTTAACTAAAATTAGAACAACACAGAATGGAAGTTGACTAAGTATCACAAAACTACATATAATATTAAATAAATTTAAAAACCAGTAGCAAAGAATGTCCAAAAGATGACTTTTGTACTAGTATTCCAACTTGAACAGCATTATAGATTCACTGTAGTTTACCTGAAAAAAAGATATTTTTTAAAAGCAGGTCAAAAGGAAGAACTTTTAATCTAATTTATACCAATGCAATTTCTTGGCATTTGTTGCAATGAATTTGAGATAAGATATAATGACATTTCTCTCTCTTTTCTTGAATGTTACAAATATACCTTCATGATTATTTGATTAATATTTTAAGTGAACAGACCAAAACCCATTTTGCAAATCTATATAGTTAAGAAAACCCTCACAACCAAAACTAAACGTTTATGCTCTCTAAAGCCAGAAAATATCTTGGGTATGAGATGCATGGAATTCCAAGTCACTACATATGTAGACTGAAGATTTTTCCTGATCTTTTTCTTGCAGAAGGGCCGCTGCAGCAGAAATGAAATAAGGACTCAGTATTCTCTCAAATTTGCTCTGCTGAGCAAAGTAATTTGTTCATGACTGATACAGTTTTGAGTTTTGGCTTAAAAAATCACTCGTGTGAAAATTTTAATTCGTTAAGAAATTTGACTTATCTTAAAACATCATGCAAGTTTTACAGATGTACATGTTTTACAAACACAACTATAATAAGTATATAAAGAAAATGGTGTCTGTACCGCTACCTGAAGTCTGGCCAGAATGCTGGCCTTCTTGGAGTTCGATGAATAGCTTCTAGAGCATGACACACTGCAGAAGCGTTTTGTTTTAGAGTAAAAAGCGTCACGGACACCAACCATTCCACACATCTCGCATGTAGCTAATCAGAGGAGAGAAAAAGCCAAATGTTAAGAGTGTAATGAAGACCTCAGTAAAAATTCAGAACAAGGACAACATAAGGAAGGTCCTGTAGGTGGCACCACCAAACAGTTTCTTAGGGTTTGACCCTGAAGAGAATGACACAGAAAGATAACTTAAAACAAGAATACCACCACAAATCTCAGTGAAACAATAAGAACCTCAAGTTCATTGGTGAAAGGGTGCCTCCTTTTTGCTCCCTATTAATTTTAGCACTGGTAGAAGTGAATGACCCAGCTAAATCAGCTAAAGCCAATTTCTGTGTTTTCATGGTTCTCAAGGAAATGTCTGCTTTGAATCTCGGCCTGTCAATCTTGATTTCCTCTAAATATTTAAAACTTCCGACCTGAAATAAAACCAGATCTCTTTTTTGAAGCATAAATTAGTATACCCAAAGTACCCTAGCCCACCAATATTCTCTTCTAGCTTCAGAGGTTGACAGCATCACCAAGTTCTTCCATGATGAAGACGACTTTGTGACCAACTTAGGCCAATGAGACAATACCAAGATTCTACCCAGAGAGCGCTCTTCTAATCACTAATGATTTTGGCTAAAATATGCTTTTACCATCGAGGAAAAGAATCTTCCCTTTTTTTATTTTTTGCAGTATACTCTAGCTCACAGCTAGTGGGTAGTGAACAGGTATACACTGACAGACTTTATACAGTAGCAGTAATGAAGTTTTCCTAGTATAAGAAGAAATAATTTTAATATATTGTATCTATAACATAAAGGGTAGAGACAATATATGCCCAAGTGTAGAGAGAACACACTGACATTTTCCTCAAAGCTCAAAGACATGAGAACATACACATGCATGTGCATGTAGATATAACACACATTTGATGGTAGGGGCGGATGTTCCCATACTGTTTCTTTCCTGACAGATTCCATTCCTTTCCTGGAAAGGAATCTCATTTCAGTTTAGCAAACACCTCTCTCCCAAACAAACCAACCAACCCCAACCCTTCAGCTGTTTTGGTCCATTTTTAATTGGGACCAACATTTGCGATTGGACCCTCACAACTCACACCACAGGGGGAAAAACATAAATATCAAACTCTTTGTACTCATGCACCACACACTTACCCATGCCAGATTTGCCATCTGGGTAAGTATAGACCTGTCCATTGTTCTTTATAATTGGGAGACTGGACGGCAAAGGAGCAACCTCCTCTTCACTCTCATCTGAACTGGAGCTGCTGCTGGTGTCCTCACTACAACTATCATAACCGTCAAACATCCCGAATGAATCACGTCTTTTCCTTTCCGCTCGTGAAGAATGTTCTGTCTAAAAATTAAAAGGAAACAAACAACAAAAAACCCAAAGAATAGCAGAGCATTCTGAATGCAAATATTTCAAAGTCAAGCTTAAAAAGTTTCAAAGGTCAAAGTCAGCCTTCAAAAGTAGATGTACTAACAAACTGCTCTATCAGCACAGAGATATGAGCCATATATTGCCAATTAAATTAGTATTGGTATAGTCAAAACCAGCCAATTTTTGGTATTGTGATATACAGGAAGAAAAATCTATCTCATGATCCACTGAGAATACACAGTAGCAGTCCATACATTTCTTTTTCTCCGTATCTTCAGAGATCATTAAACCTGATGTGCTGAATAATGACAGCCACACAGATCTTATATGCAAATGGGCACATTCCAGATGGCTGCAGCCAATTTCACTAAAATTCATTCATTTGAGAAAGCTGGGCAGAGAAAAGACAGTTCAACCAAGAGGGCACTTTTTCCACAGGAAAAGAAATGAGAGTGTATCTCTGCTCTCATTGGCTTGTAGGGTTATCAATAAATCATTCAGCTTCCCTATGATTCAGTTTCTCACGTGTGAAACAGGAATACCTCTCTACCTCACAGGGATGTTCTGAGGATTAATACATTAACAATTATGAAGAGCTCAGTTACTATGGCAATAGGGTCTGTATAAATGCTAAAAGATAGAAAGGTGACTAATTTGCCACTGTCATATATGAAAACTTGTTACATAATAGTTTTGCTATAACCAAAAAATCTGAGGTCAAATAAAAGCATACAATTTTGAAGAACGCCTAACAGTTAAGCAATTTCCAGCAAAGACATTAAAGAAGTATAAACAGTAGATTAACTGTTGTCTTTTTTCTGATGCACATCCAATGCATGCATTTTAATACAGTGACAATTTTAACTTTATTAATATCTCACACAGCTCTACTGAAACAAGGCTACTGCTACGTGAGCTGCCCTCATTAAGCTAAAGAAAAAAATTCAAAGTATTTCCATTATCCTTCACAGTATCTACTAAGTTTGAAAGGAAATAACAGATAAAGAGAAGACAGAGAAGCACAAGTTAGGAGAATGAAGTACAGCCAAGAAAACAGAAAAAAAAAAATTAAGAAAGCCTTTGCCTCTACTTCCTTTTCCAAGAGCTAATTTTATTTAAAAGTCATTGTAGACAGAAAAAAAAAAAATATGTGATCGGACTTTTCCTTCTTAAATTGAATTTGGATTCATAGCTTTAAGATTTCATCACAGTAATTCCCCAAATCCCTTTCCTAGAGAGTATATGCCTGAACATTTTTATTGTTGGATCTCATCTGAGCCTTTTTCTGCCATGCTATCCCTTTATTGTAATATTCTCTATTCTCCTTTGCAATCTGACTAAATCCTATTATAGAAGGATTTCTTTATAGTTAAAAAGGAAAACTGATTTCCACACTACCCAATCCTAGCATCCAATTAAAAAAAAAAAAAAACCAAAAAACCAAACAAAAACCAGTAAGCACAAAAGGTTATGCAAGAAGGTAAACAAATTTAAAACACTTAAAGCAGCTCTGAAACAAAACAACAAAAAAAGTCAGTGTAATGTTAATTATGCACACATTCCTCAGCCAGTAATTAAAAAATTATATTAAAACCAATCAAAACTTAGGATAAGGCATAACTTGACAGGAGGAAGAACTGACATCTGCCTGAAGTAGGTACGGTAACAGTCGCAATCATTAGAGGAAACACTGAGCAATGGCAGAACAAAACCTAGTCCTGACCTGCACTGGTGACAAGTCTTACCTGTACACTATTACTGGCTATAGCCAACAAGACGCAAGATCAGTTATTTGTTTGTGTGTGCACGTGTGTGTAGATTAAGGCAAAAGTTGAGCACAACGTTGCCATGGAGATACAGTGTTCTGCGAACAGTGCCAGTAATTTACAGATCAGAACGTGAAGACTAGTCATCTTCCTCAAGATTTCATGAACTCCTTAATGTCTCACAATATTTAACCTTCCTTGACCTCAGTCTCTGCTGAGAAATAAAATGCAATACCATATTAACCATTCACAACAGTAACACCAGAACACCGTGATGCCTTCTAGTATTATGGATAGATACTAGTGGTGTTTCAGAGCCCACAGGCAGGATCTCCTTCCTCATTCACTCATCCTCCATAAGTCAGCTGATCTGATTTCACTAAGAGATTAGGGCCTTGCCCCACATAAAGGAGGACTTCAATCCCTTCGTGGAGGCTGTAGTACAAGGTAGTCTTGGGACATCCCTTTTCCATTCCAGACTGGAGAACTCTGGACCCACACAGCAGTTCTGCTTTGCCCAGTACTTTGCTGGCAGAGGTCTGAAACGCTGTAGCAGAAGAAGGAAGATAAGTGCAGCCCATTCCCAGTCCCTCCAACTCTCAATGCTACAAAAGAGAAACTATAGCCAGCACTGCTCCCACTGCAAGGGAAGGTGAAAGAAGAAATGGGAGGTTGGAGGCAAGATGAAGGACCAGTGGCACAGAAGGGAAGACAGGCTGCTCTAGGCAAGTTGAAGCATGGTGCAAGATTACAATTGCAGATACCATAATAGCACAGTTGGCTCTTTTTTGTTCTTCTTTTGCATTACATATATTTAAAACCTCAATATTACTGCCAAGCCCAAAATATCCATGAGAAAGAAAATGAAGATGAGAAAAAAAAGTATTTCCACTTTCTATATGGAAAGCTGGGCCCTCTACTAAGAAAATAATTCTTCAGCATTATACAGGTTCCTAAATAGCAATCACCAAGTTTGTCGAGTTTAACTACACTGTCAAAAAAAGTGTCATATAGCACCTTTCCATTCACTTTATATTTGGCCAAATTGTTCCAATTCAGGTTATGAGCAACTCAAAACAGCAGCTTTGCTTACTGTTTTAAAATAATACTGTAGTTTTTATAAAACATTTTTATCCAAGCTTTTGCCAGAAGATGATCACGTTTGCCAGATAATTTATGTAGGACATTGTTAATCTTAATTTATAGTTGTTATCTGGATTGTAATTCTGGGGAAAGTACTCAAAATATGTTTTGTGAGACTTGGAAAAGGTCCAGTTTTGCAACGAAAAAACCCGCAAAGCACTTCGTGCGCAGAAGTCGGTGGAAGTTAGGGAAGATGATATGCAAATACCTATGCTGGAATTTTGCTAGAGCAGATCAAACCATTTCTATTTTGATAATAAACACCACTAAGGTTCTTTTTAACTCATGTTGAGAGACAGCATTTGTAGAAACAAGTGAACAACACATGGAATCTCTAATAACCCTTCCTGCAGAACTTAGTCGGGGTTTGCAAAAGAATAGGACCTCTAACATCTGAAACAGAAAAAAGTTGGGGTACAACTCCTAATTCAAAGGTCAAAAATGGCATCCTTACAAAAAGGACAACATATGCCTCAAACACAACCACAACTGAGATAAAGCAGCTGCTTCGGTAACAGCATGCTGAGTTCTTGTAAGTGATGAGCAGCAGTGTGCCGTATCTGCTGACTAGCTATATCTTGTCTGACAAAAAAGCACCTAACCATGGTAGCTACAGGACCTCTATGAATGGAAGCCTCAGAAAGAACAGTTTATTACGCTGCAAGGTGTTCCCACTGAATTTTGAGACACTGTCCATGAGAATGCAGTCCTTCACCCAAAAAAGCTACCAGAGACTAACAGTAGCAGTAACTTGATCTAACAATTACAACCACTGTAAGATCAATCCATGTTTCACAAGACAGGCATAAAATGTTTCCTACTCTTAGAAGCTGGATTTAGCACCAAAAATCATGCTGAGGAGGTTACCTTTTCCTCAAAACTGAACCAGATCGGGGTTCTTCACCTTCTAACAAATGAGGGAATAGCATCTTGCCTATCTGCATGCTTTGAGCAGGAGTCTGGCTTGCTGTAAAACTTAGAACCTTGTAGCTGGTTAATACCAAAAGAGCAGTAGCTTAAGTAACTCAACCACTAAGAAAGAGTCTACTAGTACACTAAGCAGAAGCAATGCACAAACAAAAGAACAAGACAAACTTTTGGGCATACTGGCTAAGGCTTATTTTCCTAATGAGATTACCGGTTCCTCAACAGGAAAGATTTTTAGACAGAGCAGTCTAGGGTAAGTGGGACTGGCAAATAAGCCTGTACGACTATTTGCTTGGGGGTTTTCTTGCATACTTTTCTTTATTGAAGGGATGGGTGGAGAAAGGAACTCTTAAGAACTGCTTTCTTATTCTGCCCAACTTCCCATTTTCCTGTTCTTCCTCTCCTCCCTGTGAATACTTGGCAACAATGTATTTTAAAGAAATACTCTTAATTAACCATTACACAAGGCAAATAGTACAATAAAAGAATATAGTTAAGGAAACTGGTTTCCCTAAAAGCAGGAAGGCAACTCTAAACAAATATGAAAAATAACTAGTTTCTCACTCTCTTAACATATAGTGTTATATAGATACAGTTGAATTTGGTCAGCACATTATAGCATACATTCTTTGAGCCTAATAGCTACTCTTTCAGCATAAAAAGTTGGTCACGAAGGCTGAACAATGCATGGCCAAAACACAAAATAAAACTAGCTAATGTTAATCAGACATCAAATACTTACTCAGGAAATTGCTTTAGTGTCTCAATGAAGACTATGCTCAAGTATTGACAAAATTTATGACCTTTTTTTTTAACTTTTTTTTTTTTAACAAAAATTTATATTAAGTGTTTTGAAGGCGAAAACTTGCTACAAAAAATTCCCCATGATTAAGTAACCAAACTTCTTGCCGCCAAGTAAGTGCATCTTGGCCAAAGGAGAATGATCCAGAACAGTCACAGAAAGGTTTCAAACCACTCAAAATGCTTGTTGTTACTAGTGAATCAATTTGGTGCTTGAATTCAGAAAGGTAGCAATTTAGAGCTTTGAGTACAAGAGCTGTAGCTTAACAAAGGCCTACCAGCACCTATACAGATAGGTATCACTTTCTATATACAGATCTAACCCCCAGAAACATGACAGAAGTATGGACAGATGGTATTTGAGGCCAAGGTCAACAATGAGGTCACCACAACCTTCAAGCCAAGGGTCTGTGATAAGACACACTTACTTTAATCACATATCCTTAACAGATTGTGCATTTCCCAGAGTGTATTTCCAAGTTGGTATTACATTTGATGCACAGCTTTTGTTTTCAAAAGTTCACTAATGTTTTATGCTACAAGCTTAGTTGTAGCTCTGGATGTTAGCATTAAGGAAACAAAACGATGGAACTAATTTATTACAACTCTTCTGAATGTAAGCTGGCCAAAATAATTTGCTGTAGTAATACTAGCTTACCCCCTGTGGAACTGAAGTCTAATTGTGCCTCATAGCATGACAAAAAAAGAAAATTCAAACATGGTACCAATTTAAAGAAAACATACTTTCAGCTTTCATTAAAAACAAACAAACAAAAAAAACCCAAAGCTAAACATCTTGGGATTCCTGGAAATCAGAACCAACCAAACTTACTTTTTTATATAAGCAACTCACCTCTATCTGGAAATGTGCCTTCCACTCTTATTATAAGTAAAATCTCTGCTGGAAAATTACAGAAATGTTTTTTCCTGTCTCTTCATTTGCTATGTATGACAGCATTTTGTCTGAAGCCAGTTTCTGCTGTTTGCCAATGGTTTTGTCCATAGCCTCTTCCCCAGGGGGTTTCACACAAGAGGGGAGACTCTTTCATAAAAAAATATATCAAATTAGCAGGCAATTTTGGAGGGGGTGTGTGATGATTAATATGTGAAATATCTGAGTTTTGAGAAAACTGAAAATCTGTTACAAACTCCATTATGTTTCTACAAAGCCCTTACAGCAGTATCTGGAAGAGGCAAATATTTCACTTTAAACACTGTGTTACCATTTAAAAAAAAAAAATCAATTTAAATGTAAGAAACCAAAAAACAACACCAACCCAAAACCAAAGTCTTCAACACCTGAATTCATTCCATGTGCTCGGAGCCAGATTTGGCATAATTCCACACCCAGAGTGGACTGACTTACCTGAGAAATGAAGGTATGCAGTAGTAGTTTGCAGAAGGTATCAAAAGCTTTGCTAAATTAAATCAAATTTTAGAAGGTAAGAGAAACGAAAGCCAATGAGAGGGAACTTTTGTCCCTATTTTCATTACTGCCACAGTCATCTAGCTCTTTTGGGGAACCACAATGAAGAGAATTTTTACTTTCAGCCTACAATCCTTTTGCACATGCACAAGCCTACACACTCTCAAGAACAACACCTAAACTATTCTTGTGACATAAACAATAACTTCCACATAGGAGAGTATATACGTCTGCTATGTTTCTCTATAGCTTACATTACACACTTCCTCAAAATGATCCCTAGGCAGAAACAACAAGTAAAGCCTACTAACCTACCAAGTTTGATTACTTTTTTAAAAGACTACATTGTTTTAGTTCCCATTTAATGTTCCAGATTAGACTCGCTCAAGCCTTTTTATTCCATTCCTTACAAGTCGAAATTGGACTGTTATAAATGAATACAACAAACAAATAAGTAAATGCAGGTTTTCAAACGTGCAAAATAATCTTAATTTAAAACACAGAAGACTGCCCTGCAGCTTTCAGTCTGAACTGGTTTTAGATGTGAAAAATCACAAGGGCTGCCACCCACATTTTAAATCATTATTTTAAAGTGAATTACTTTTTCACACGCAGTAGTTTCTACCATAATCACCATATGTTTGCAGTAAGAATCTTTTTTTTAAAGCCATACTGGACAGAAATTGCTACAGTTTAAAACATTTCAGCAACAACCTGAAAGTGAAACTGGTTTCACGGGTTTACTGTTCTTCACATTAAGAACAAAGTCACAATATAAACAGTCATAAAAATTATACAGAGGGGGGAACTGGATGCAAAGAATCCTAAACTTTTGAAGTGTTAATATTAAAGAATACTCGACAGCACTTAAAATGAGCTCGACTGGAAAACTAAATCTTAAAGGCTTTAATTACAAGAGGAAGTTGCTGAAAAACCAGCACTTCAGTGGACCACTATGAGAACGCGTATCCGAGTACGCCTGTATCGCTCAGTACGAGATAACCCGAAACGTTTTACTACCGACCCTGACTGCCGGCAGGAGGAAGGAAAAAAACCCCAACCCCCGGACAGCCCGGGAAGGCCGGGGGGCGCGCAGCGCTCCGCCAGCAGACGGGATCACAACAAAGGGGGAGCCGCCGCCGTCCGCCTCCACGTGCCCGCAGC